TCAGCCTATTCAAGCATTGGCCAGGGTAACAGTAGTATGTTTGATCTGATTTTATGGAGAAATATACATCAAATACATTTTAAAAATCCAAATCAATGCCAAGGATTTTGAGACTCAGTTTTTGTCTGGATTTATATCAAAAGTACATTCAAAAAATAATAATTGTAAGGAATGACTTGCTAATATCTTATAAAAGACTGAAAATTTGTGTAAAAATAGAATTTTAAAAATTGAAACAATGTGTCAGATGTAAACATTTCAACTGAACATTTACTTGAAATACCGGTATCATTCAATCCTTGTGTCATTCAATACATGCATATTGCAGAAGGCTAATTAAAATCAATAATATTACATGTATTAATTTTTAAGGTAATCGTGGGATCTTACTGAGCAGAAAGAGTCATTGAGTTGTCACCCTTGGACTATCAAAGATCGTTCTTTAACTGATAGGTTTCTGTTTTTTCATGTTTGGGAGACATGCTTATAGTCAAGTTACAACACAATATTTTTACATTTACTTTGTTTTTCCCTTATAAAAAATGCTGACCTTGGTCTAAGTGTACACTATACTCAGGGACCTATATACTATATATATATACATGTAGTATATAGGTCCCTGCTATACTCTATTGAATGTAAATGGTCTTTGAGTTTTCAGCCTAAAAGCAAAAGAAATTTATTTTGAACAGGTATGAAATATCATTGAAAAACTCAAAAAAGGGGTGGGGATCTTCTTTACTTATGGGAAGTTACCAAATTTCATGGAAAAAGCTCAAGAAAAACTATAAAAATATTATCTAAAAACAATTTTTTGCATTGTATGAATTTCCGACCTTGGCCCCTGACCTCCAAATTAAAAGAAGCCTTTGGTCAAGGGGATATGTGTTTTAAAACCTCATTCAGAAACAGATTTTTTTTTTAAAGAAACTACAACGCCATTATTTTAAATTACCGGTAATACGTAATGAGGTTATTGTACCAATATAGTTTGTCCAGGTATAAAAAGGATTCGCGTTCTATTCAACTTTAGGTGAATACACTCAGTAGATCAACGTACCCTTGACCCAGTCTTCATGAATTAATAAGGAATAATTTGATTATTATTGGGAACAAATCATTTTAAACCTTTTTCACTCGGGAGTTGGCTGTTCATCAAACTTTGATGTGTCTTCTCATCCTTATCTGCTGCAGATCTAAGATGGCTATTTTGTGCGTAGTTTCATTGTGACGTCACAATGAAATTTTCTCGTAATCCACATTTCCCCTTCCCAAAAATTTACCCCAATTTTCTTTTTTATCATTTTTAATTAAAGGTAAAGGTGTATATTGAACAGGTCTTAATTAAAATGAAAAGTGAGTATTCAGGAGAATTATCTCATTTGGAGATGTTTGTGAACCTTATTTTGATATACATTAGATAAACCATTGTATAACATTTTAATTTGCAGATACGGAAGATGTGTAGGGTTCGATTACTTCAATGGTACACTACCCATTAATATGCCACTCGATAAAAAATTAAAGATTATGAAGTATACTGCATGATCCATGGTCCTTTGGACCCTCCTTCTGAATCTTTATAAATTCCTCATTAGAAATAAAGGATCTTGCAAAGTATCATATGTACGAACAAAAGACAAAAAGGATTACATAATGTTCATAAAGTTCATAAATGACAAGGCCATCAAAAGGAAGCATTGGGTGCGATTGGTCCAATGAAAAATCGAAAAAGTTCTCTTTGGATACACAGATTAATTTATCATTCATCTGTTCAAAGTTCAAAATGCTCACTTTTGTTTTTTAATGTTTGTGTGGAAAATGATTTGCATGATGCGCAAGGAGAAACCAAATTGGTAATCTTCGGAACAAGTAGCCCCCCCCCCTCCCCGGCCTCTTTTCCAGAATATTGTGACGGTCCAACTCTTAGATAAACCAAAATCCGTCTTCTGTATATGTCATACAGATATGAATTGGATCATTTGAAAATTATTGAAATCTCTATGGTTAATTTGTGGCGAATTCAACGATCCTATTTGTAGAATAAATCCTCTTTAATTCAAAAATGTAATTTTTTTTCAGAAAATTTTTACCCTGATTTCGGGACAAAACCTACAGGCAAACAGTGCTTTGCAATCAATGACGGATCTAGTACCGCCCCCCCTTTGGTTTTGTTTTGTTTGTTTGTTTGTTTGGAGTTTTTTTTTACATTAATGCAGAACACAGGCACTTGTTTCTGTAATAAATTTTTGACCCATAGTATAATAATTATTATACTATGGGTCAAAAAATTATTACAGAAACAAGTGCCTTTGATGCAGAACTTGAAATGTATGCATTCCATCCTCCAAATCAACGAAAAAAAATCTTATTTGTAAGAAGCCACCAGCTTTAGGGGTACGAGCGACAAATCAATTTACGAAGAGCGAGATGAAAGGTAGAATTTTAATTAGATTGATTTTAGTCATATTTTTTTAAAATAGGTGGAGGGGGTGTTACTTACCTAAATTCACGTAAATTACATCCATCAAAAAATCATACACTGAGAAAAAACGATAATTGAAATAAACACCTCAATTAGGTGTATGGTAAAAAACCAAATTCAGAATCCGTCCATTCCCCAAACAATATATCTTTAACATATGTCTGGGGTTTATTCCATTTAAAACCATTAACATATAGAATAATGAAATGAATTGTTTAAAGTGTAAATTTTTGAACTGGTGTTTTAATAGAGTTAAGCTATGGCGATAGTATGTGAAAGATAAGATATCACAATTCCATGGCGACATTCTTTCAAAGGAACATTGAGATTATCTGATCTGTTTGGGGTTTATCGATATACTAGAGCCATACACAGGAAATGTTTACCAACAATAATCACTGTATACACAGGTCTTGAGCTCTAGTTGATATTTTTATTCAGAGTGTGTCTTTATCTACATTTTACATTGCTTCTTTATCACGATTGACTATACTGAATGACTGTTGACAACTGATGAAATCTGAATTCAAGAGACGATCGTTTGAATGAATTTCAAGGAATGCTAGCAGACCTGGAAACCCCCACTCCCCCTTTTTCCATAATCGCTAATATGAACATGTATAACATATATCAATGGGATGAGAGAATACTATATTGTATAAACCAAGAAAAGTGTTGAAAAAGTATTGAAGGGATGAGAGGTGGGTTTACACAACTATAGAAAGACAAGGGTCATAAAGAATCGAAATCCCCTGCTGGTTTTCATAACATATTTTGAGATACTAGTATTAATCGCCATTGCTATCTTCTCGTAACTTTTTTGTTTCAATAACTGGTACTGTAATCCTTATGTCTCTGTTATTTATTGGAAACCGGAGATGTCTGTAAAAAGATTTCTTTTTCACGGTACAACAGAAGAAAATATCATTTTTTGCCAATATATAGTGAGCGTCCAGTATATAGGAGTGTTCGAAAAGCACAATAATCAGATTGTTGTGCCACGACAATTCAAATCAAGCCAGTTTATTACAGGCTACTATTGAGAGTAGGATAAAATATACAAATTGCCAAGCCTTCGCTATTGAGCGTATTGCAATGGAATGTCAAATGTAACTGGATGCTGTCATAGGAAAAAAATATTGCAGGTGTTTGCTCCTAGATGCCAGCTCGACACCAAGCAAAGTAAAAGAAAGTCAAGTTTCAATCAAATTGTTCGATTTTTTTTACGTGAGAAACGCATTCTTGGCTTTGTTTGGGATTACATAAAAATAACAAAACTCAGAATCAATAAATAGAAGGCATTTAATAGATGTTAAATGATGAAAAAATGAAATTAATACAAATTCTATATTTCTTTGATGTCAAGTCACTGTGGTCATTTTATTTAAAACCAAGAAAATTCTTAATTCTTCTTCGAAGACTCTTCTTAGAAGACACAGTTGCCTGAAATGAAAAAAATAAGATTTACGCTATCACACCTCCTTATGTCTTTTAGTTTAATAATAATGAAATATTATAATAAGAAAATATAATATAAACTTGCCATTGTTGTTTCAGATATACAAGTTGTGGATAATTCGTTCAAAGGGTTAGGAACTTTGAGCGCAGGGATTTCAGTGCATGTGGTTATCTGGGTTGCATCATTCTAAACAAAAGAAAGGAAAAATTCAAACAGTGTGGAAACCACAATCCAATGATATAATAGTCAATTCAATACAAATACAATATATTGTAAATAGACTTTTATTTAAAAAATATGAATGATTTTTTTATTATGTGTGTATTTCTTTTTCAGAAGCCTGAACAACCAAGTTAAGGCAACATTATAAATACAAGTAAAGAAAAAAAATTAATTTAATGTTTACTAGTACTTTAAACTACTTTTAATTTTTAAGAAAAAGTGGATATAGGGAATATAAATCAAAAGTTTCAACAAGTACCTTAAATTCTGTTATTCCGAATAGAAAGAGTCTTCGAGGAATGAAGTGGTCCTCATTTTCAACCTCTTGATCTGTCAGTTGCTATAAAAGACATGTTAATTAATGTGATATTGTAGCAGGTAAACTTTTCTGCATTTGCAAAATTACGTATGTTTAATTTGGTTATTGAAATTTCAGCATCTGTTGTAAATGTACTCAGTACTTTACATATGCAGTCTTGATACTCTCAGTTTACTTTCAATTATTCTGTCACCTTAACCGTTTTGAATTTTACTAAATTTCTGATTCTAAAACAGTCAAGATTTATATGACATACCTGTACATAATTTAGTTTTTGTCCAATTTGGAACACCTCTGTTTTCAAACCAGTGTCTTGTTTCTCATCATTGAAAAAGTTTGCGGGTTTGCTGTATGAATTAAAAAACAAAATTTAAGAATCCACAAAATAAACTGAAGAATCCAAATACATTCATATAAAAAAGATTTAAACAACTACTAAGTATATAGTAGCAAACATTAATTGATTAAGATACACTCATTAATTCAGTGGTACAATACCTTAAACCATTTCCAGTCTTCTCCTGCTGTGCCTCTTCCTTTGGGAGTGGACCCTGGATTTCTTCTGTCTTATCGTTTATCTTTTCCCCAGCTGACGTAACTTCCTGTGGTTTCTCTGGCATCATCAACTTTTCATCTTCCTTTGAAACTCCTTTCTGAATTTCTTTTTCTGTACCACCCTCTTGTTGTTCTTTAGTTTGTAACTGTACTTCCTAACGATAACAAGAATGAAGGAATATTTGGATTTTTTCTAGCATGCTCCATTGTATAAAAACATAATAAAATTGTTTTAACACTTTTTAAATACCAATGCAATTACATGTATATGTACCTCCTCCATTTGTCTTTCATGATCTTCAACCTCAGTGGCCCAGCTATAGGAGAACTTCAAAATATCTAACTTATCATCCTGAAACAGATCAAAATGTATCCATCAAAAATTTTATACAAGCTTAATTCAATGGAAAAGATAATCACAATTAAGAGTTATGAAATAAATCCACCCAAAATTATTGCAGCACTGGAAAATACATGACAAAACCTTTGGAAAACTGTACTTACTAAACTTCTAACTGGCTCTCCCCCAAAATCCAAATATTCTTGTCTACAAAAAAAAAAAAAAAAAAAGAGACTCAGCAAAATTCCTAAATACATATCAGCATATGATGATGTATATCAGCGGCTTTATTCTACTTCACGAATATGTTTTTAAACAAATCTGCCATTTAAAAATCCGTTATTAAAGTGGAAAATTACCCATAAATGTTTTGTAATCTTCGTCTGACATCCACTGTTTCTGTTTCATTGTATCTGTATGTTCCAAAGGTTTCTTGCTTGCTTTCTAGAAGGACAATATTGCAATTTATTTTATCTTTTAAAATTTTTTGTCTTCATGAAAACCCATAAGACGGCCCCATCTCTCTTTGTTTGTTATAAATATTAGCAGAGTTTCAAATGGCGCTCTTTTTCTTCACGTATGTAAATAAGAAAAGTATAAAAATGTTGCATTAAAGTCTTGCAATGATATGCATGTAGATAGTTTTGAATTTCTTGAATTGCAAACCATTTAATTTACTGTATCTATTTAAATAAATTTCTTCTCGTGGACATAATGGGGTTATGATTGTATTCATTTACCTCGGCTTTTCTTTCTTCTCTCTCTACCTCATCAACCCAATTGTAATTAAATTTTAATATATCCAACTTTTCATCCTGAATAAAAACAAAAAATCTACAATTTTGATTTTATTAATTCAAAGAAAGTTAAATAAATAACTTTTTAATAAATCATTTTACTGTCCAGTACATGGTTATTTTTTATATTTTGAATTACATACAAAATACAAATACTTCATGTTTTTAATATACTTACTATATTTTTAACCGCCTCCTTGCCAAAATCCAGAATTAATTGTCTACAAGAAAAAATAATAAAAGTTTTAGAGAATATTTAACTATTAATTACTGAGTACATGGATTGCTTTAGCGTATATCAGTAACTTTCCAATACTAGTACATGTACATGTATTACCTATGGATGGTCTTATCTTCATCTGACTTCAGTTGTCTCACGACATCTGTTATCTCCAAAGGTTGCTTCTCTACTTCCTTGGAAAACAATTTCTTCATAATGAGACCAGTATTGCTTAAGAAAAAGCTTAATGTCTTTAGGTTTATGGAGAAAAGCCATGCCATAACCTTAACGATTCTCCCTTTTCTTATTTAGAAAAAAAAAATAAATTGTGATATCTAAATTATTATTGTGCTATTACATTTTAAAATAAAATCTTAATGATTTATTATTATCATTATTCATTAACGATTGACTGAATTGAAATAATAAAAAGACAGAAATACTATATTTTTGTCAACATAAGCAATGTGTAATAAAAAAACCCTCTTTTCAAAACCGAAATAAATTTTATTTGTAACAATTTGTATACATTTTTACCTCCATTATCCTCTCTTCCCTCTCTACTTCTGCAGCCCAACTGTAATCAAATCTTAAAATAGCCAGTTTGGCATCCTACAAAAATAATAAAACACGAATTTTTGAAGTTTGAAGATACAAGTACTCAAAAATGTTTTTGAAAATTTCTTTTATATACACGAAAAAAGTAACTGTGGCTTTTCAGATTAATTGTTGAAATAACATTATTCACAAATAGCAACCATAGATGCTTACCACGTTCTTGACTGCTTCAGCTCCAAAATCCAACACAGCATGCATGCTTTTCTACAAAGGATATGAAATATGAAATGATAACCTTTAAAAAAAAATATGAAACTGATCTTTAAAAATCTGCAATTGAACTTACTACAGAAAAAAAACAATAGGTAGGGAATAAATTGTAACTTACCTCCGACATCGTTATTTACGTTTTGTTGTATGTAGTAACAATTGTTTCGTCACATCAATTGTTACGTTCGATATCGCAAGTTATTATGACGTCAGATACATGATTGCGTTGTGATTATGGCGCTAAAACTCGAAAATGAAAAATAAAAACTTTATATGTCTTTGAGGTGACTGCTGACTTGTATAGTGTCTACTGACATACAGTTCATTACTTTTATATCAGGGTAATTTAGTGGCATTTAATTTTATTCCTTTATTTTTTTCATTTCATATTGATTACAACATTACTACTGTACAGAATATTGTCAGTTTATTCAGCCCCTCCCCCCCCGCTCTCTCTCCCTCTCTCTGATTCAGTAATAATTACTATACATTTATTGACTTATATAACATGCATTTTTATGGTCATACAAGCTGTCTGCATAGGCTGTTAGGCCGAAAAAAATATATTGACAGACAGAGAGCATATTGTCGCGCATTGAACAAAAAAAATGTTTTGTTAAACCTTTTATTTTCTTTTTGGACATACATGTATCTTTTACACTCTTCTGTGATGTAATTTTAGGTCTGCCTATGTTTTTAAACACCATCTTGAAATATTAGCTCCGCCTATTGTGTGTTCCAACATCTCATTGACAGGTCCAACATTCAGCGGTCAAACTAGATATCCCAGTAAAAACAAAACACTTTTTTCTTATAATTCAATGATTTTTAAAACGTATAACAAACAAATTTGATATTTTTTTTTACATATCAGTGAATTCATTCAAACCTAGATAGTTTGAAGAGTCTCTGTGTACCGACAAAAATAGAAATCGTCAAAAAACCAAAATCCGGGACCGTCTTAAGACTAGGTTTACCGGCTGCCCTGTTGTTAAGGTTTATTTTTTCGTTTGGCGTTTTTTTTATGTACGTTTGTTCTGCAAAGATGATCATTCGTTTTGCATTCATATATGTTTGTTACGTACGTGGTCGTTGGTTTTGTTTTAATGTATATTTGTTCTGTGAAAAAAGGTCTGAAGATTATGCATTATATATAATTTGTTCAGTTTTTATGGTCATACTAGTAGCTGCAGAATTGTAGCTCTCCGGAAAAAAAATATTTTGACAGACCGGAGAGCTACAGTGTCGCCAATTGAAAAAAAAATGTATATTTATTGCACAGAAAAAAGTGCAATTTTCTCGATTTATTTCTTCATGTTTTTAAACTGGCATCTTGAAATACCACTAACTGTGTGTTCCTGACGTAGTATTTAACTATTCCCATAACAAAACATTCTTTATAATTCAGTGTTGTTAATAATCATTAATGAAATTTAATCAAACAACATATATTATACTTATTTGCAATTTTGGTTTGCAGATTTCGGTCTAACTTTGTTCTAACAAAGTAATAAATATAGAGGAGTAAGGATTTTTTAAATATAAGATTGGGGCTGCAGTCAGACAAATATATTATACTTATTTGTTTTAACAGATTACTTATTTGTTCTAACAAAGTAATAAATATAACCATAAATTTAATATAAGATGCTGCTGCAGTCCTACTAAGTAAATATATATATGTGACATATTGAGGTACTTTCATAACAAGTCATAAACCGGCAATGCCGAGTGTTTGCCTCTAAATACCAGTTTGACACGAAGCAGTGTATACTTAGAAAAACTTAATAGAAAAGTTTTGATAAAATTGTTCAAATTGTTTGTGAACAAAATTATTGGAAAAGTAGTCTTGTCTTCAGTGTCTTGAATTCGTTTGGGATTACATAAATAACAAAACCCATGTACTCAGTAAATAGATGGCATTTAATTAAATAATGTTATGATGACAAACCATGAAATGAAATTAACAAATTCTTTATTTCTTTAATGTCAAGTCACTTGGGTCATTTTACTTAAAACCCAAAAAATTCTTAATTCTTCTTCGAAGACTCTTCTTAGAAGACACAGATGCCTGAAATGAAAAAAGTAAGATGTAAGCTATCACACCTCCTTAGTTTTTAAGATAAATGATGATGAAATGTCAGTGTTATTAAATATTATAAACTTACCATTGTTGCTTCAGATATGCAGGTTTTGGAAAATTCGTTCAAAGGGTTACAAACATTGGGCTCGGAGATTTCAGTGTATTTGCTGATCTGTTTCGCATCATTCTACAACAAAAGAAAGGAAAATTTCAAACACTGTGGAAACCACGACCCAATGATATACATATGTAATACAATCGTAAACTAATTTTTTAAAAATATTTTTTTATTACGTGTATATTTTACTTAAGAAGCCTGAACAACCAAGTTATGGCAACACTCTACTTTAATCAGAAATAAACCAAAAAATCTTTGTCAATTTACTGATTTCTTTTCAATACGTTTAATTTGTAAGAAACCACAGAATATAAATGAAAAGTTTCAAGATGTACCTTGAATTCAGTTATCCCAAAGAAAAAGAGTTTTCTTGGAATAAAATGGTCATTGTTTTCATCTTCTGACAGTAGCTATAAGAAACATAATATGATCTTTTAACAAAAATATATACTTTTCTGTGCTAAACAAAGTTTGGTTGTTTAAAAAAAAAACATATTCATTATCATTATTATATTCACCAAAAAATCAGTATATGTTGCACATTTACTCGGTACAACATAATACATAGAGTGCGATTTGTTATACAGTCTAGAAATTCTCAATTTACCTTCATTCTTTCATCTTAACCATTTTAAGTTTTTCTGAATTTTCTAATGCCAAAATAGTCATGAATTTATATGATATACCTGTACATTATTAAGTTCTTGTCCATTCTGGAACACCTCTCTCTTCAAACCAGTGTCTACTTTCTCATCATTGAAGAGTACTGCAGGTTTGCTGTATCAATAAAAAAACGATTTTAAGAATCTACAAAATAAATCGAAGAATGCAACACAATCCTTTAAAAAAAGATTGAAAAGCTATAGTAGCAAACATTAATTGATTAAGATACACTCATTAATTCAGTGGTACAATACCTTAAACCATTTCCAGTCTTCTCCTGCTGTACCTCTTCCTTTGGGAGTGGATCCTGGATTTCTTCTGTCTCATCATTTGTCATGTCCTCAGCTGACGTAACTTCCTGTGGTTTCTCTGGCATCATCAACTTTCCATCTTCCTTTGAAACTGCTTTCTGAATTTCCTTTTCTGTACCATCATCTTGTTGTTCTTTAGTTTGTAACTGTACTTCCTGATAATAACAAAAAATGAAGGAATATTTTGATTTTTTTTTTTAGCATACATGTATTTAGATCATCCTCCATTGTATAAAAACATAATAAAATTGCTTTAAATACCCATGCAATTATACGTACCTCCTCCATTTGTCTTTCATGATCTTCAACCTCTGTGGCCCAGCTATAGGAGAACTTCAAAATATCTAGCTTAGCATCCTGAAAACATATCAAAATGTATCCATCAAAAATTTTATACAAGCTAGCTTCATTCAATGGAAATAGGTAAATTAATCACATCTAATTGTTATGAATTTATTTCCTGGTGTACAGTATATTCATATTTGTTGTTAAAAAAGTGGTAAAACATTCTCTAGTGTTCAATACATTGTCATGGACATTGTCTGGTAAATTAAATTTACAAGACAATAAAGTAATTTTTACACCCAGAGTTTGAAAAAAATGCAACACCTAATATAAAACTTCGCAAATTGAAAAGGTTTGGAAAATTGTATACTTACTACATTTTCAACTGGCTCTTCTCCAAAATCAAAATATTCTTGCCTACCAAAAACAAAAAATAAAATGAGCTTTAGTAAAATTCCAGATACTTATTGATAAAGCAGGAAGTTTTTTGTATATGTTACATCAGTGACTTTGTTCCATTTCACGAATTATTTTTTAAAAAGTCAATGATTAGAGTAGAGCATTACCCAAAATGGTTCTGTTGTCGACTGGCATCCACTGTTTCTGTTTCATGGCGTTAGTAGGTTCCAAAGGTTCCTTTTTAGCTTCCTAGAATGACAAAATTGCTTCTTATTTTATTTTTAAAAAGTAAATACATGTAAGTAAATAACAAAAACAACAGATGCCGCATCAAAGTTAGGCAATGATATGCGTGTACATAGTTCTGAATTTCATAAAATGAAAATCAGTTTTATTTACGGCATTAATAAATCTCTTTTCACAGACAAGATATAAGTAGCTGTTATGTGTATAGTTACCTCGGCCATTTTTTCTTCTCTCTCAACCTCTTCTACCCAACTGTAATTAAATTTTAATATCTCCAACTTTGCATCCTGAATAATAAACAAAGAATCTGTAATTATGTGTGTGGGGGTGGGGGGTAGGGTGTTAAATTCAAAGAATGTTAAATAAATAAATTTTTAATCAATCATATTACTATCCAGTACATGTACATTCAAAAATACAGATATTTCATATTCTAAATCTACTTACTATATTTTTAACCGGCTCCTTGCCAAAATCCAGAATTAATTGTCTACAAAAAAATTTAAAGTTTTATAGAATATTTATTTATTAATTACATGGATTACTTTAGCGTATATCAGTAAGTTTCCAATACTAGTACATGTATTACCTATTGATGGTCTTATCTTCATCTGACTTCAGTTTTCTCACGGCATCTGTTGTCTCCAAAGGTTGCTTTTCTACCACCTAGAAAACAATATTTAGTCATAATGAGACTATAATTGCTTTAGAAAAAATTAGGTTTATGGAGAAAAGCCATGTCATAACTATAATTACAATTCTCCCTTTTCTTATTAAAAAATAAATTGTGATATCTTATTACTGTACACCAGCTATGGTTAGCAGCGAATTAGCATGATTGGCTGAAACTTTGAATGCCTATAACTTTCTTAGTTTTCGACAAAACGGGATGAAATTTAGAGTAGTAGGTCGCGGAATTGCATGTGCGCGCGCAAAATACGCAAAATGACCAATATATTATCGCAAGCGAATAAAAGTCGGTTTACAGTATTGTGCTATCCCAGTAATAAAATCTTAATGATTTATTATTATCATTATTCACACCCTCGCTAGCCAAGGGTTTTCGGTCCAATTCGCTCATGTCTAGCGTAGATGCATTATTTATTAACGATTGGTTGAATTGAAATAATAAAAAGACAGAAATACTACTATTTTTAACATAAACAACAATGTGTAGTGAAAAACCTCTTACAAAAAAACAAAATAAATTAATTTTATTCATAACAATTTGTATACATTTTTACCTCCATTATCCTCTCTTCCCTCTCTACTTCTGCAACCCAACTGTAATCAAATCTTAAAATAGCCAGTTTTGCATCCTACAAAAATAATAAAAAAGTTTAAAGATAGAAATACTCAAAAATTGTTTTTAAAAAATCTCTTTTATGTACATGAAAAAAATAATTGCGGTTTTCCAGCTTTATTGTTGAAACATTATTCAAAATAGCAATCTATTGTCAGACTGCTTACAACGTCTTTGACTGCTTCAGCTCCAAAATCCAACACGGCATTCATGCTTTTCTACAAAAGATATGAAATGATAAACTTAAAAATCTGGAATTAATCTTTTAAAAAATCTGCAATTGAATCCACTACAGAAAAAAGCAATAGTAAGGGAAAATTTGTAACATATACCTCTGACATCGTTATCCAAGTTTTGTTGTATGTAGTAACAATTATTTCGTCACACCAATTGTTACGTTCGATATCACAAGTTATTATGACGTCATACACATAATATTGTTGCTCTGTCATTATGGCGCTAAAACTCGAAAATGGAAAAAAATTATATGTATACGCCTTTGAAGTGACTGCTGATTTGTAAAGTGTTAAACATTTTACGGTTCTGAGTTACAATTTTATTTAATTTTTCATATCAAATAGCGGCATTTTATTTTCCTCATGCAACGAAAGATTACACATTCATGAAAAAGAATTATTCTTTTAATTCTTCTTATATTGATTAATGCAACATATTGAAAGCTTATTCAAGTCCTCTCTCTCTCTCTCTCTCTCTCTCTCTCTCTCTCTCTCTCGCTCGCTCGCTCGCAGAGTAATGAACTTGCACAAGGAACGATCTAATGTAAAAAAGGAAATCGCCGTCATTCAGACGTTTGAATGGCCGGCATGTCGATTTGAAAATTATTTTCGTCAAGAAAACGTCCTATTTGGGACCTGAAAAGCAGACATGGTAAAACTAACAGCAGAATTGATAGAACAATCGGCCCAATACACAAATCCAATTCGTGATAGAGAGTTGGATTTGAGAGGTAATATGATGTAAAAATGTTTTTCATAATTTAGTCCGCGCGTCCTCTGTTAATTTAGTTTTCTCTCCACACATCAAATGTTAATTTACCAAATAAATACTTATTTTAATATTGTTATTAATACTTCTTTCTTTTTTATTTGATATAGGTTACAAAATTCCAGTTATTGAAAATTTGGGTGCTACATTGGTGAGTCTAAAGTAAAGAATGAGAATATAAAAGTGCAGAATAAAGACACAGTCATGAAATTATGAAAATATTAGGGCTGCCACGAATCAGGAAATTTTCGAATCGATTCGGTTCAAACAAAAACCTCGATTTTCGAATAATTTCGGTTCGATTATTAGACATAAATCTTTTTTTAATTTTTGTATAAAATCTGTAATGAATTTGATCAAAATAATCATAAGAAAATTCTTTAATAAATAATGATGACATACTTTTATAAGGTTTATTTAGATAAAATAAAATGTAAAGCCAAGAAAACAAAGAAAACACCTAATGTTCTAATTAAAAAGTATGCTCTGTCATTAAGAATAAAATGTCGAAAATCCAAATTAATTAAAAATATTTTGAAGTTATTGGTTTTAAAAGATGAAACATGCGAATAAATCTTTCAAATAAATACCATTTGATTTTCATATTAATTATTATGCTAACACATGAAAAAGTATTGGTGATTTGCTCTTAAAGGCTGTTTGGCCACAATAGAAACGCTTAAAGTCCTCTCTCTCTCTTCCTCTCTCTCTCTCTGATCTAAAATTCTCTCTCTCTCTCTCTCTCTCTCTCTCCAAATAACTGTCATAACAAGAATGTCAGATAATTACTTCACATTCAAAACGATCTCAATATTAAAAAGAAATAAGGAAATTCTTTTCATACATGTGTGTAGGCCTGTAAATTCAGACCTTTTTATATAATGATGGGTGTTGTTGTTTTAGAAAATCTATTTATCCTCTTTGCAGAATAAAACTAAATATTAAGCGAAAATGGAACTTGGTCAATACACAAAATCCAATTCATTAATAGAGCCATTTTTATGTTTTTGTTTACTTTAAAAATGTTTGCCATCATTTCTTCCGATTAACCAATCGGAATGCGCGTAACAACAGCAAATGTTAGTATGAAAAAATCAAACCTGAATTAATCGAAATCTTCCGGAAAAACGTACAAAATCAGTTATTGAAAGATTGTGACATCGCGGTTAAAGATATTTCGGTATAAAATCAGTAAAGACACAGCAGCCCTAGAAAATATCTTTTTATTAAAAGATGGAGAAAAAGCTAATTGAATGAAAATAATGCACACATTTTACGTGATTATTCTGTAATTGCAGGACCAGTTTGACACTATCGATTTGTCTGACAATGATATCAGAAAAGTTGATGGATTCCCATTACTTTTACGACTTAAAACAGTACTATTGAATAACAACAGAGTAGTGTAAGTATGGCTTTTCCTTGATAGAACATTCTATTGTAAAAATGATATTGTCCTAAGAACCCGTTTTAACAACAGAATTTGTTCCATGTATTAGCAATGTAGCAATATAAACACAGGCAATAACTCAAACTCAGTGAATTTACTACAAACAATCCAGAGAGTTCCGAATGTAAACATGGGGTGTAAATTTGAAGCAAGAAAAAATATTGAGAAAAATAGTTGAATTTTCATCTTTATATGGATTATTTTTGGGGGGAATGGCATATGCAATCTCAAAAAGGTTTGTTTTGATTAATTTGGTATTTATTTTCAGCGCAACCCTTTTTGTATTCTTCGAAATCATTTTGGTGCAGATCCGCTCTAATCTGCTACATTGCAATTATATGGGACATATTCTTAATGTGGTGAGGGTTTGTCCCAAGACACAGTTAGATTATTCTAAATAGGATTTCCTTTGTACTTAGAATGACTAAAATGCCCCTTATTCACTGAAATTCCCACTGAAAAAAAAGCCCTTCATGAACACGAATATGTCCCTTAATAATTTGATATTATTTAAGATGAAGAACCCTGATTTAACCCATTTTATACTATAAGAATATGTTCAGTTGTATGTAAATTAATATGAGTTATTAGTCTCCTTACTCTCAATGTGGTTCAAGACAAGCTGAAACTTTAAAAAAATTGTTTTCATGGTTTTACTTTTAAGAAAAGAAGCAAATGTATTTATAAATGAAAACACCCAACAAAATGCATTTTAATGCATATTAGGCATTTTCAATTATCTTTTTTTCAGGGGGAGGGGGGGGGGGTTATTATGGACAGTTTGATGATTTTTGTTGCTAAGATTTGCCAAATGTTAACGAAAACTTTCTTTTTTTTCTCATTAAGACAAATTCTTAACAATTCTTAACTATTTTTATCCTAGGAGTCAATTTGCACAATGCTGTTAAAGTACCAAGGCAGAAGATTGTATGGTTTAGTGTAAAGTGTTGTTTAATGTTGTTCATTATAAATTGCAGAAGAATTGGTGAGGACCTACAGGAATGTCTCCCCAACTTGGATACATTAGTTCTTTCCAACAACAGTATGGCAGAGTTAGGGGACTTGGACCCACTCTCCAGTCTTAAAAATTTACGACACCTTAGGTAAACCATGGACATATTTCTTAATTCCAAAATGATACAATAACTTCATTGGAATGTGTTAAGACTTCGTCCTTTTTCATGACCAAAAACCACAGTCAATAAATTGGCAGTTTCTTTAGGATATGTATTAATTTTTTTCCCTAAAATTGATTTTAAGACTGTGACATAAAATGTCTCTAATGTTGATAGGCAAAATAGGTTGTTTTTTAAGATTAATTTGACAATACAGGTTTATTCTGATGGTGATGTTTATTTCAGTTTACTTAGAAACCCCGTCCAATCCAAGAAGCACTACAGATTATATGTCGTACACAAGATCCCACAGTTACGAGTTTTAGACTTCCAGAGGATCAGGCAAAAGGTACATGAAAGCTTTTTGCTTCCATTCAAAAATGCAACTTCTTCTTATATTTAAAGGACACCAAGTTCTGTTTGTTTTTTTTTTTTTATTAGGTCACCTGAGTAAACTCAGGTGACCTATTGCTATCCGTTTTCGTCCGTCGTCGTGCGTTGCGTTGTGCGTTAAATTTGAACATTTTCAGCTTCTTCTCTGCAACCACTGAACCAATTTCAACCAAATTTGCCACAAAGCATCTATGGGTGACAGGAACAAAAATTGTGAATTTCATGATCCCTGACAGCCTAGGGGTTGGCCAAAACGCACTAAAATTAATGCAATCTTTAAAAATCTTCTTCTTTACTCCTGGGCATCAAGCAGTCAAACTGGTTGCATGATTGTAATCAACAATGAGTCCTTACCAAAATTGTGAAATTCATGGCCCTGGGGTCAGGGGTTCTAGTGCTAGGGCGGGGCTAAATAAAGGTAGTGAAAATGCATTATTTCTTTGAAAATCTAAGGTATACTACCAGGCTTGTTCTCTGCTCCTGGGTATTAAATTTAAGTAATAGTTAAAAAGAGTGCCTTACCAAAATTGTGAATTTTAATGGCCCCAACAGGGGTTTGGATGTTAGGGTGGGGCTCAATTGATTATATAGTGAAAATACATGAATTCCAAATCTTCTTCTCTGCTCCTGGGTATTAAATAAACTAACTAAGTACATAGTTATGATGAGAGATGCCTCTACCAAAATTGTGAATTTTATGGCCCCAGGGTCAGGAAGTTCTGGTGTTAGGGGGCTCTATTATTATATAGTGAAAAAATGAATTCTTTGAAAATCTTCTTCTCTGCTCAGGGTATTAAATAAGCTAACTAAGTATATAATTATGATGAGCTTGCCTCTACCAAAATTTGAATTTTATGGCCCCAGGGTCAGGGGTTCTGGTGTTAGGGCGGGGCTCTATTGATTATATATTGAAAATACATGAATTCTTTGAAAATCTTCTTCTCTGCTCCTGGGTATTAAATAAGCTAACTAAGTGCCTAGTTATGGTGAGCAAGAGTGCCTCTACCAATATTGTGAATTTTATGGCCCCAGGATAAGGGGTTCTGGTATTAGGGGGGGGGGGCTCTATTGATTATATAGTGAAAATACATGAATTCTTTGAAAATCTTCTCTGCACCTGGGTATTAAATAAACTAAGTGCATAGTTATAATGAGCAAGAGTGCCTCTACCAAAATTGTGAATTTTATGGCCCCAGGGTCAGGGGTTCTAGTGCTATTGATAGATTAACAATTTACACGAATTCTTTCAAAATCTTCTTCTGTGCTCCTGGGTATTAAATAAATAACTAAGTGCATAGTTATGAACACGTGTAGAGTGCCTCAACCAAAATTGTGAATTTTATGGCCCCAGGGTCAGGGGTTCTGGTGTTAGGGTGGGGCTCTATTGATTATATAGTGAAAATACAGGAATTCTTTGAAAATCTTCTTCATTGCTCCTGGGTATTAAATAAACTAACTAAGTGCATAGTTATGATGAGCAAGAGTGCCTCTACCAAAATTATGAATTTTATGGCCCCAGGGTCGGGTTTTGGTGTTAGGGCGGGGCTCTATGGACACATTATATAGTGAAAATTCATTAAATCTTTAAAAATTTTCTTCTCTGCTCTAGGGTATTAAGCAGATGAACTACCTATATAGTTAT